TCCCTCTGTCTTCTTAATAAGTCAGTCATGTTTTAATATATTTTTCTTTTATTTCGTACTTCTCGATTCAATTGGTTTCTAGATTTCCTTTACACCATGTTTCACCTAAAGATCAACTAATATAGTCATGAATGAATTTTGTTTTTGTTATTCAAATTGTATACTTTACGTATCATATATGCTCTAAGTTTTTGTAATAGGTATAGAAGTTCTACAAAATCGAATTTGTAATAAAAAAAACACGAGATATTATTATTTGCAACCATTTATATCTATGTAGTAGACATGTAGTCTTCGACAGTCCCATATGCATAGACATATGTTTTGGTCTAATTCTTAGACACTTGGTGGGTGCTCTATAGTACAATCTCAATAACAATGTCCATATGCTCAGTTTCATCACGTCCTCGAATTTTATAATACTCTTTTCATTATATTAGATAAAAGTATAATCTGGGGGAAAAAATTACTAGTACGATTAATTTGTTGATTTATAAGGAGAAAGGCAAAATGATACATTTGATCGAACAGCACATGTAACGTCACGTGGCTCTTTCATTTTGATTCATTGCATTATCTCTCGAGTCTCGACCAAACGAAGTTGCCTAATTAATATTCCTCGTACGACTCTCCAATCCTCTATTTTGTTTACTTAAGAACTTTTTACAATTATATTTTTCTTGTGAAAAATTAACAATTTAAAAAAAAAAATTATAGATCGTGTCTCTCTCCCGACAAGTATCCGTAATTAATAGCTCCGGGGACATTAAGGTGGTTGGTCTAATAGAGATTGGTCGTTTTCGTAAGTGATGTTATAAGTATAACATAACAATTTAGTTGAAAAGGGTTGAAGAATTTTCGTGATTTGCCAACCAAAAAATTTAATATGATTAGGTTCAGAGTATCACAGGGAAAAAGGAGTATGTGTTTACTTCTTTGTGATAAAGACAAGAATAGGTATACTTTTATGGGTTTAATTAACTTTTTATTTAATTGTGTCAAGCTTTATTTAACTAAGAATCAGAGATTGAAAGGGAAATTAAACGAATGATGAGAAAAAACATGTATCTGCTTCTTTGAGGTCTTTGGTTCATTGCATTAGTACATGATACCAATTTTATGGTTCAAATTCATAATTTTTAAAATTTATAGCAAACTCCATCAAAACAATGGTTTTACATTAGTTTTTTTTTTGTTGAGAAAGAATTTTTTTACATTTTTAGCAAAAAAAAAGAAATGTTCTTACATTTGTTTACTGGTCAAGTAAAAAAATTAATTGATAACCGTTTACTCCGCAAAGATAAATAGTTTAACGTTTTGAAGATTATCAATCACGAAAACGGATAGAATTAGTTTTTTTTTTTATAAAATGTTAATGTTAATTTATATACCAAAAAAGCGAGTTTGTTACAAACATTTAGCGAAACTAAAATTTTCCAAAAAGTCTAACTGAAACAAAGCGAAAGATCTCAGAAGCAAATCAGAGAACAATTAATCATAGAAGTTCTTGCAATAGTATCACTACTGATCTTTTACCGACGTTGTTTATCGTTTTTTCTTTTTATTAATTTTTTTTTATCGCTCTGCGTCATTAGTGAGAGTGTGAGAGTCAGACCAAGCAAGAGTGAGAGGCACGAGCGGAGGGTTCTTCCATCAACCTCACACTCTCTCGCGGTCAGAAGCTTCCGGTTTTGACCGTAGATTAAAATGTCCGGTTTTCACATTTAATTAAAGTAAAAATCCGGTTTACGCTTACCTTGCCGGTTTCGGTTGAAATCCCACAACCTTAACCAGAGGCTTTGGATCTGTCGTAAAGGGGAAATGTCTAAAACCCTAGAATCCTACCGTTCGATGTTCGCCGGTAGAATTTTTCAGACACACGTTTGAAATTACACTCTGCTCTCGTCACTCGGAATCAAAGGCGAAACCTTGAATCGAAAAGAAAATGGCGGCTAATGGGTACCAACTCTTAAACTTGTTTTCACTCTTTAAGAGAATCTGCTGATAAAGGAATCATTTTTCTTGTCTGGGCTTTGATCACAGGCTAATGGCGACATCGAATGCGTTTCTTAATCGCCTTGAAAATCCCCACTTATCGTTTTCTTCTAGAACGAGTCAAGTCGCTCTACTCGGTGTCAAAGGCCGTGTTAGTTTCAGTGGCAAAGGGCAACGGTGTTTTCCGGTGGTTTTGTCGATGAAGACTACGGAGATTTCAGAGGAATCCGGAAAGCCCGTTGCGCCTGGTAAAGGCATATCAATCATGGTATCTGATTATTTCCCCCAAACACTCTTTGACTTGCGAGATTTAACTTTTGCATTTGATGTTTGTGTGATGATTTTGATTTCCCGGATATACATAGTTAGAAAGCTATTGCCTTATAGCATTAAGATCAAGTTACATTCTTTTGAAAATGAGTATGCTCTTTGGTGAATGGTGAGAGTGTAATTGTAGGATCTAGTTAAGCCATTTGATTTTCTTCCTCTGTGTACCATAGGTAAATGGATGCAGTGGCAAAATGGGGAAAGCTGTGATCAAAGCGGCGGATTCTGCAGGAGTGAATATTGTTCCTACATCGTTTGGATCGGCCGAAGAAGCTGGCCAGAGAGTTGAGGTCTGTGGGAAGGAGATTCTTGTGCATGGTCCTACTGAAAGAGAGAAGGTTCTGTCTTCAGTGTTTGAGAAGTATCCGGAACTGATTGTCGTCGACTACACAATTCCTTCTGCAGTAAATGGTACAATCCAGTATCTCGTGTTTGTGGAATCTGTTGAAAATAATTTTAAAACATCATCATGGTTAAAATTCTTGCACTCGTTATGGTTACAAACACCAGCTGCTTTAGAGTATGTTTGTCTATAACTAGTTGATTTTAAAGGTGTGGTTGTTTTGTCTGTGGAAAAATGTAGATAATGCCGAGCTGTATGGTAAAGTAGGAGTTCCGTTCGTCATGGGAACAACTGGAGGAGACAGGACAAGATTGTATAAAACTGTCGAAGAATCAAAGATTTATGCTGTCATTTCCCCACAGATGGGTAAACAGGTACTAAGTACTTAGTGTGTCATAAAAGTCGTATAAACTCTTATCATTGTGAGTCCCTATAATCTGTTTGCTTTGTTGGTTGGTCCACTAGGTTGTTGCGTTTCTTGCAGCCATGGAGATCATGTCTGAGCAGTTTCCCGGTGCCTTTACTGGTTATTCCTTGGAGGTACCTTCTTTTACTTTGAGTGTATTCATTTAGATGGAATTTACAGTGTCGCTGATTGGCTCTATATAGGTGATGGAATCTCATCAAGCAAGCAAACTGGATGCATCTGGTACTGCAAAAGCTGTTATTTCTTGCTTCCAGAAATTGGGCGTGTCTTATGACATGGACCAGGTGTTTTTTATCGTACTTTGTTCTCTGCATTTATGTGTACTCATCCTCAACAGGACCTATTCATTTTGCATTTGCTTAACTTCTGAAACCAGATACAATTGATTCGAGATCCTAAGGAGCAGATCGAGAAAGTGGGTGTTCCGGAGGAGCATATCTCGGGTCATGCTTTCCATCGTTATCACTTGAGATCACCAGATGAAACGTAATGCAAGATTTAAGACATTCATTGTTGTTTCTCTTTTACTTTTCACCAAACTTCTCATGCTGATTTGTATGTAACATCAATTCGTTCGTTTCTTGCAGTGTGTCTTTTGAGTTCCAGCACAATGTTTGTGGAAGATCAATATACGCTGAGGGTACTGTCGATGCCGTGCTTTTCCTTGCCAAAAAGGTTGGACATTTAAACTTCGAAACTGTTTCAACGAATCAAATATTGCATTTCTTAATCTGTTAATATGGTAAAAACACATTCATGAATTGCAGATCCGGTCGAAAGCAGAGAAGCGGATCTATAACATGATTGATGTCTTGAGAGAAGGAAATATGCGATGAACAAACCTTAAGGTTTGTCCCTCAGTGCATTGTTCAGATGTTGAAGCTAGAAGAGTTACAAGTCCTATGAGAGGGGTTCATCAACTAGTTATCTTGTTGGTTTTTCCTTAGTCTAGACAGAACAAAACCTTGCGTTGCATCGTATGACTATGTTTCACCAGAACTTCTTGTCTATTCTTGCATTGAAAAGGCCATAGCAATATTTTAAGAGCATTTTCGCGCATTGATTAATCGATCATCGAAGAACAAGTTTCGATTTTCATTTGATCATGCTAACCAGTAGGTAACCTCTCAAATCAGAATTAACATAAGAAGAAAATGGTTTATTCCAAAGCATATGCTTAAGAATATCCATAGAATATTCTTGTTTGGATTCATGTTATTGTCTGTACTTGCACATTCCCAAACTTGTTTTTATACATCTTTAACTTCCACTGAGCATTTTAGGTTTTTGTTTTCTCTCTTTTGCAAACCTTGAATGTGTTTGTTGATTGACATCTATGCAAATCGATCATCTTAGTGTTGATCAATTGGTTTAGATGACCATCAACAAACGTTTTCATGGTTTTTGCATCACTTTTTGAAATCTATATCATGTTTTTAGCATCTTCTGTATCATCAAAGCAGCTCCTTGAAGCACTAGCATCACCTGGATAAATCTCTAACCACAAGAGAAGAATCGAAAAGCTTCTTATGGATATGATGATTCTATTTCTAATATCCAAATTTGTTGTAACTTCTCTAACATGTTCTTGTTCTTTTGCAGTCGTCACATGTTAGATCATTGAGGAAGAATATTTGTTCTTGTATTTGCTGAATCAGAACAGAGTTACAAAACATATTTCGTATTGAAATCCTTAAACTTTGAAATCAACCATAAAGATAAAGTTTACAATTCAAATTGAGTTTCTTTTTGTGTGTTCTTGGGAAGAATGTTTATGCTCATAATCTCTAGGACTCTGCATTTGGTGGAAGTTTGTTTCTACATGAGTGTGACACTGGTGAATATGATATCACCATCGCATACACCGGGATACACCGAAGGTGTGGCTATAGAGAAATGGGACCAGAAAGAAAAGTCAACGAAACAAGTCTAAGTTGGTATGGCTTTGGCTGCTTCTTTCTTGTATTATAGTTGTTGACTATGAACTTCAGTTTCTATTGTGGGTTTGATTATATTCCATTTTAAAAACAAATAATTTATATCTATAAACCAG